CAAAACTCGCGTTTGAATCATCAGTGGCAAATCCTTTAAATGAAAACGTACCTACGTGAGTCGAAACTGCCGGCATTGTAGTCAACTCTACCAGGATCAGTAAAAAGTCCTCCATAAAATGTGCTGCACACATCTGGATATTTGGGTTGAACTGTTTTGGAACAGTGTGGTAAATACAACTTAACCACTGATTTGTAGTCGTGTCCTCTTTTGGAAGAGCAAACAAAGTAGTTTCGCTTTCACAACGAAAAACACAGCGGCCTAGCGTGAGGGGAAGCCCCGGCTTAGCGTGCGCTGAGGTCGGGATAGAGTGAGCTGAGGCGGCGGAGTCGAGAACGGCACGCCCGGCGGATGCGACGAATGAGCGGCAACCACGTGTGACGGACCCCGGGCTGGACTCCGCTTTGTCCACGGTGAAAGTTGATGTATTCCCTCAGCGACCAGCACAGATAAGCTCTTTCACAACGAAGCACACAGCGTACATGGCTGCAGCGTCAACAATACTACAGCGAGAATAAAAGTTACGCCTTCTTTCTTTGCGTGAACATTTGGGCGGCGTTATGCAAATCTTCCCACATAGTGAGGTAGATATGTGGGGGCGTGTTAGAGCGAGCCGTTTTAGGAGGGTGTGGCTGACTCTGAACTTTGATAAAGAATATCTCTTTGAATTTGAGACTTTAGTCATTGCAACTTTACAGATCTTCTTTATACACCATGAGCTTGTAACACTCCAAAGAGAAAGGAAAAATTGAAATAGCATCATATGACCCCTTTAAGACATGTGGAGTATTCCTATTTTAGTCGCATTATTGAAGTGCAGAATAGACATGTAAACACCTTAATCAAATTATTACCGTCGTGTAGGACTTTTCGCCGCATTTTGCGACAGGATACACACACGGCAGTGTCAACCGTTTGAAGGCAAATAAAAGAGCTTCAACACCGCCATCGCCTGTATGCACGTACAAATAATTAACTACACTTGAAGCTTTCATAAAATTAAAAATGAAACACCCAAAACTGTACATGGCATCATCACGAAGACGAACTATATGTTTATACGTGAAATTCCGGAGGGGACGTCGGATGCCGTCACGTGGGGAGGTAATGACGTGCGCCATTAATCGAACTATGTACAATAACATGTAAAACAGTAACATGATAGGAATATTCTAAAAGCAACTCATGTAAACACCATAATCATAATATTGGCTTATTTAGATGATGTCCATATAAATGTAGTCTATGATGCTTACCTTGAGTTTTTTACAGGGCACAGAATCCCAGTCTACTGACTTAAACCATCTGTGCTTCTTCACATCATCAGCTCCATTCTGGAAGATGACAAAAATAATACACAAGATGATAGATTACTATAACTAAATGAACATAAATGTAGAATGGTGTCTTACATCTTGAGACAAACCACCACAGTAAGAATAAAAACCTCATTTGACCTTGTACATGACACTTCTCATTTGACCCCAAACAGTCTTTTCAGTCACTGTACTGTCTTTTTTAGTTTCTTAGAGAGGGAAAAGAAAAGTGGGTCAACTATGCTAACCTACTGAGGTCTTCTAGAAACCTCAGAATTTGGGCCATGCATTGCACTGTGGGACCATGACAGATACACATTCACTCAAGTGGAATAACAGATATCAGCACTTGTGAATGAGCGCTGCCAGCAGGACCTTGCCTTGCTGTGGAAACAGTGCAAACACAGCTGTGATTAGGCTGCCGGGTCTTAAACTCTCATTGTATGTAGTCAGAGGAGAAAAAGCAAAAGAAAGAAAGTGCTAAATTAACAACAGAAGCATCTAGTCTGGGAAGTTCACCCAGAGTGACATTTCTTTTGAAAAAGCTTTTCTAACTTTGTCACTTATTCTGAATCTGGTTTAATGACAAAAAGGAATAAACCCCAAACAAACAGAACAGCGAGATACACATTTCAGCAGAGCTCATTCCTCACGTGTGCAGAATTATAATAATGGCATTAACTGGAGCTAATGGGAAAATGACGCTCAGATGCAACCATTCACAAACTTCCGTCACAATATGCATCACATCACGCATGACAGGCCTAGCGCACACTGTAAACCCGAACAGTACTCTGGACTTAAAAAATTTGAGTACAATACAATTAAAATATGTGAAATAGTTAATGCTACTTTAAACAATAACATTTTCTGAACGAGCAGTTTACTTTTATTTTTGTGGGGCTCATTATTTTTGAGTAAACATCACTACTTCACTGAATATTTTTAAGTATACTGACTGCGCGGCGTAAATTACGTCATCTACGTCACGTCGTTGTAACGTTGCTCTGATAGACGTTGGAGGAATCCATTCAACATGGCGGACACTCGAGAGCGGCAGGATTCAACGCATGGAATACCTTGTAAGTAATCTAAACGTGTCAAAGTTTTCTAAGTTGTTTTTTGTATGTTATGTTGTTATGTTAGAAAATGTTGAATCTTTGGGATGCGCTGTTTTTATGAAGCATCGTGAAGCGCGGCAGTCGCCTAGTGTTAGCGCGCTTTTTTTTTTAATGCTATTTTAGCGTCACTGCTTCGTGTTATATTAACGTCAAGCAAGCAGGGCAATAATGTTAAAGTTAGCTGGGAACTCTTTTCAGTTTACGTTAACTGCATTTTTACGCTTTGAAAGTGTGTTGCTGTTTATGGTAAATGCCCTGATGTGGTAAATGTGCTTTTTCCCCCCTGCATGCATGCACGTGAATGGCTAGCAGTAAGCTAATGTCAATGATTAACACTAACGTTACACCGACGGGAAGTTAACAAGACATTAGATTCAGTTAATGTTCACTCCAGGTAAGGTAAAAATTAATTTGGTCCAAATAAGGTTCTGTCTTTAATATCAGTCTCTTTCTTCATTGTATTCAAAATAAAATAAAGTTGGCTTACTTGGCCTAATTTTCACTTGTTTTTACAGGATTTCCATGATGCCAACATGAAGCTCACTTTAGCCCTTTAGGTCTTTAAGATGTGGAATGTAAGTATTCCTAGTATCAGGCTGCTAAAATTCAAGATTGTTCCTCTGTTAATTGTTTATTATTATTATTATTGATATAAATCTAGCAGTGCTCTAGTAATTATGTAATAGACCCCAGCTGCCACTTACCTATACAGTACCAATGAAAAGTTTGAAAACCTTACAATGAATGTTTTTTTGAAAATGTATAAATGTTTTTGAAAAAAAGTATCTTAGGCTCAACAAGGCTGCATTTAAATAACCAAAAATAAAGTAAAAAAAAAAAAAAACTTTTAATTGATTTTATAATGTAATTTATTCTTGTGATCAAAGCTAAATTTTCAGCATCATTACTCCAGGCTTTGGTGTCACATGATCCTTCAGAAATCATTCTAATGAGGATCAGTCTACTTAAAAGGATAGTTCACCCTAAAATAAAAATTTATCATTTATTCACCCTCAAGTTGTCATAAACCTGTACGAGTTTCTTGTATGTGACACACACACACACACAAAGATATTTTGAAGAATGTTGTTAACCAAACAATTTTGGTTCCCCATTGATTCCATATTATGAAGAAAATAATAATAATACTACTGAAGAAGTCAATGGGGACCCATAAAATGTTACCAACATTCTTCAAAATATATTTTGTGTTCAGCAGAACAAAGAAACTCATACAGATTTAGAACAACTTAAGTGTGACATTTTTGGTGAACTATCCCTTCTTAATGAGTCACAAGGTTTTAAAAATGGTAAGGCTGAATAAATCAATTCTTTAGCTAATGTTGTATTTGTATTTTTTTTTTAATATGCTGAACTTCAGCATGATCAATTAATTTGCCTATGAGTCATGCATAAGAGTTTGTGCGTGCGTGTGTGTGTGTTATAGAATTTCTATGAAATTAAGTATTATTGCATCAAAATAATTGAGTCTGGATAAACTAAAAACATTACTTAGGGTAAACAGTACTTTTAAGTATAGTGTACTCAAATAGTAAATAAAATTAAAGAGAAACTTTTAAGTTTGGATTAATTGTAATTTATAACTATTGTTTACTTAACATTTTTGAGTTGGTTTACTTAAAATGTATTAGGTAATCGGTGTCCACAAAAATGGAGTATTCTGAATTTAGCGGGTTTTACAGTGCACTGCTGCCACTTCATCTGGTGCCAGTTACTGAATTATTTCCTCTGAAAGGACAATTTAGAAAAGTAAATGCCATTATTTTTTTAAATTACTATAACTGGCGATGCAGAAACAGTTTGCACAAGAACTCCGTCTGTAGTTCTTTCCCCAGTATCCACCGCGACTGATGGGGGTTGGAAGGAGTTATAGTGGGAGAGTTGCCCGGTGTCAGAATCACTCTCTGAATGTCCAGGGAGTTTCTCCAGAGGCTCATCTCATCCTCTCTAGGCAGATAGGAAGCCTTCTTATTGTAACTGGAAACATGTGGCATACTGTGGCCTTTGGGAGAAGGATCTCGCAAGACTCAATCAAGCTCTTCTTATTTGCCACGTGCAGCTTTATTAAGATGCAAAGCTGGACTAGAAACAGAGTTAATTCTGTTAGACGATTCATAGATGGCCTTGAATTTGATATGACTATAAAAAAGCCATATAGCCATACAGCGTTTTCAGAGGAAATATCCCAGATGCTGATTCCTGCTGAAATACTTTGCTCAACCATATAAAATATCTGTCACCAGCATCTTGCTTACCTTCATGTTTCCAAGCCTTCTTGCCCGATCAATCACCAGAAACTTCTTGATTAGGTCCCTAGATAAACAAAGACAAGATGACAACCAATATGCTAAAATGCACCTGATTTAGACATGAAATTATTTTAATAAACACGAAAATTAAGACGGTCAATTTCATGAAGGCAGGTATTAAGAGTAGGGATGCATCAATATTGAAATTCTGGCTGATTCAAATAAATCAATAATTATTTGAATATTATGGTTAATAACCAATAAATGGCTGATACTAAAAATCTCTATGGTTTCGTTAAAATAAAATACAATTACACAAATATTTTTGTTTGTATGCTGCAAGTGAATTTGGGAATCACAGCATTATAAAATCTGCTCTTTAAAATAAGTATACAAATTTGAGTCCTGAAAAAGTAACATAGTTAACACAGTTAATACATAAATAATTTCCAAAATTAACATGATTTCTTTTAAAGAAAAAAAGGTTAAAGCTTCACTATAATGCATAGCTATAATTTTGTGCTAGATGTTGATAAATGTAAATCTAGAACCTTTAAATATATTTCTGGAATCAAATACATACAGTGGGGGAAATATTTATTTTGATCCCCTGCTGATTTTTTGAAGTTTGCCCACTTACAAAGAAATGAAGGGTCTGTAATTTTTCTGGTAGTTTTTTTCTTTTTATGTATAGAGACAGAAGACCAAACAAAAAATCCAGGAAAAAAACACATTATATAAAGGTTAGAAATTGATTTGCATTTCAGTGAGTGAAATAAGTATTTGATCCCCAAGCAAAACATGACTTAGTACTGAAAAGCAAATCAATTTCTAACCTTTATATAATGTGTTTTTTTTCTGGATTTTTTGGTTAATATTCTGTCTATCTGTTAAAAGAGGATATATATATATATATATATATATCCTGCGGCCTCGTGCCTCTGGCCTAATCACAGCCGCTGATATAGAGCCGGTATCGCTAGAGTACGAGAGTGATATTGCGTTTATACAACAGTTCGATGGAACATGTGTAATTAAATAAGAAACAACGGAGTGCCTAATAAAACCATTTCTTCTTATAATAACTAACGTACTCTACGATTAGCTCAGTGAGTAATTAAAAAAAAAACATAGACCCGGCTAGAACAAGCGGAGTGATACAAAATTGTGAAAGGGCGTTCCTGTAGCGATACCAGTACAATATCTCACGGTTCTCAACCAAACAGATTTGAGAACCAGAACGAACTGTTGTATATATATATACACACACACACTACAATAAGGTCCCACAAGTTAATATTACTTAACTAAAATTAACAAAAAAGAGAGAAAAAGAAAACCTTTACAGTTACAGTATTTATTAATCTTAGATCATATAGTGGATATAAATAATAATAATTGTTATTTGTAGTTAATAACCATACAACTGCTACAACTGTTTATTTTTAGTTCAAGTTAGGTTGGGTCCATTAAATAATACTGACAGATACAATCTCTGATTTTAATAATGTATTAGTAAATGGTAACTAACTGTTAATAAATACTATAGAAGCCTTTTTTATTGTAGGAGCCTTACCAAAATGTTACCATAGATATCATGAAACAGAGTTAAATTGCACACACCAATATTTTCTGACAAAGGCCTGCAGTATACCTACCGACAAAGTATAACTACTCTCTTAAAGAGATTATTATACTTTATTTTATGGTGTCCTTGTTACATGTTACATGTACTTACTATTACAATAACAACAATAAATGATGCATAATTACATACAAGTAACCCTAAAACAAACCCTAATCCTAATCCTAACCATATAGTAAGTACATGTAGTTAATTAACATTACTCAGCACTTAAATGTATAGTGTAACAAGGACACCTTAAAATAAAGTGTAACCAATTATTCATAGTGCAGCTTGCCCTTAACACAAAAACAATTTCTACACACATAAAAAATCTACCTGCACTAAGCTTTACACATAACCCTTATGTATTAGGTTTTAAAATCAATCTGTATCCATTACCCAGCAGACTTCAAGCTGCGAACACGAGCGCATTAGTATGTTTACTGCTGTGCCGTTGATGTTCTCACTCAGCCTAACACCAGAGACGCCTGGAGCGATCGTGCTACAGATGACCTTGCCATTCACTCTAGCCTCCCTTGCAGATGTTATTCATTCTCCAATGATCATGTGTGTTCGACTTCAGGATACCATTATCTTGTCAAGCTTGTTAAATCCCTACTGACACAAGTCGTAGTTTTGGCTACTTTCATAATTGTAACTAGAGTAAACATGACAGTCGAAAGGAAACACAGATTCGCTTTGCCTAAGGTGACTGTCTGTCTCTATTTCCGAGAGCTTCCTCAAGCTGTCTTTGTCTCTGGAGTGCAGACCGTTTGAAGCAGCGAATGGCAGTTTAGCCACTAGTGGACAAAAGCCATATTAGGAAATGCAGCTGTGATGTCATTTTGTGTATGTGTTTGTACAGCTGCAAAGACTTTTTAGATGTTAAAACTAAGAGAGGATATTGTTGTGTTTTATTAAGAGGGATAAAATAAAGGATTACTTTTCTGAACATCAAGAGGGGACAGTGGGTCGTTTGCTGGATCCTGAGCTTCTTTAGATCAAAAGCACCATGAGTAATAGTGTAGAGTAAATAGATCAATCTGGAGGATGCCTCCACTCCAGTGTGCTTAGCTAACATGTTGAGTTCATTAGAGGACACGAGTTGGTTTGTAACTGCGTGCACATGTAAATGCATGTATGAGAGCATCTCTCTTCTAACTATAAACTCTCTAAAACAGGGGTCTTCAACTTTTTCATGTCAAAGATGCCTTTCTGGTTATAGAGATGCAGCAAGGACACCCTGTTATTACTGAAATTAAAAATGTATGTAAAAGTTTGATCTATATAACATGTAGAGTACCATATTAACAAATGTTTTTACTGTATTTAAGATGCTTTTGTTGCAGAGGCATTAAAATAGTCATTACTGGTGCTCAGGGACATATATTTCTGTATATTTAATGCATTTTTGCAGGAGGGATGATAAAAATGATTAAAAAATAAGTAGACTAAACTTACTGTATTTTGTTTTTAACAGTGTTATTTTAGAATTATTTACATAATATAATAGTATTTATTAATAATTTGAACTATCTTTTATTGTTATATTTTCAGTTTTAGTAAGTGTTATATGCTTTTGTCATTTTTATTAGATCTTCTTTAATATTTCAATTTAGTTTATTTTTATTTCAATTTGAACAATTTTATCTTTCAACTTATATTATTTCAGTAACATTTCTAATTTTCATTTAATCTTTTCAAGTTGTAGTTATATAATTTTTCACCTAACATTTTTTTTTAAATAATAATAAAAAAAACTTAAATGTCTTGTTTTTCCCACCTGATTAATTTCAATTAAAAAAAAAACTACTTTTATTACTTAGCTAGCAATAAACATGCTTGTGCTTCCCCCCCCCCACACACATAACAGTTTGAGATCAAACAATATTTCATGTTGATGCTGACATGATTTCACTAGACATTGTGTTTTATGTATGCTATAAATATGGCATGTTTCATTCGGTTGTGTTTTCTTTATCAAACTCACTTTACATAGAAATCCAGATGCCGTGGAAACTCCAGCTTTCCGGACAGGATCTTCTGGTAGATGCCAAAGGGATTATCATCAAAAAATGGTGGATACCTAAGGAAAAAAAAATTTATTCATTAAAAAATGACCAATTAATTTGTCAGAATGACACTGAGCAGGAAAAACCTTAAAGATATTTATTAGTGTCCTTTATCCGAATTCAATAATGTTCTGCTGAAATGCCAAAAACTAATTCACAGACTTTATCTTCGGCTTAGTCTTTAGTCCTGTCAGTTTAGTCCAGTAAAAACCTCTGCAAATATTCATATATAAATATTCGACTCAATATACGAAATATGCAAATTTAATACTGACTCATAATAATTCAATAACAATAGATCATTCTTTTGTATTTAGCATCACTTTTAGGTGTACATTTCACAGATGCATCCCTGGTCTGCACCACTGGAGGAGGACTGCAAGGGATGAAGGTGCCATTTAGGCCTCTAAATGACTACTGTTTACTGTGTCTCAGTATAATGCTTTTTGTCCATGTGATGTCTGGTAGACTGATTCTCCAGCTCATACTGTGTAATCCATTACTCCTCCATTACAGAATTCCAGCCTCGACCAACATGCCATCAAACATCCTTGCACTCTCAATGAGCTTATGTTTAATGCCTGCATCCAGCTGGCTCTGAAAAGAGCCGCTGTATATGAGGGATAGATGAGGTGAGACATGCTAATGAGCCTGTTACTAGGCGACCACCTGAAGTCTCACGAGGGCACAGATCACTGACAATGACTGAACTCAAGTGTCAACAGCAAAGATGAGATGACGAGACATACATCAGCAGCAAAATACAGAGTGAAAGACCCTGCAGTGATTGACACTGAACAAGCCATTACCGCAGAGTTGCACAACAGGGAGGACAAATGTGAGACGGCTTAAAAGAGTATTACTCAGAATGACCGCAGTAACATATTATTTAAAGAAGTAGTTCACCCAAAAATGAAAATTTGCTGGAAAAGTACTCACCCTCAGGCTAACCAAGATGGAGATGAGCTTGTTTCATCACTGGAACAAATTTGGAGAGATTTTGCATTACATCACTTGCTCAACAATGGATCCTCTGCAGTGAATGGGTGCCATCGGAATGAGAGTCCAAACAGCTGATAAAAACATCACAATAATCTACAAGTAATCCACACGACGCCAATCCATTAGTTGAAGTCTTGTGAAGCAAAAAGCTACATGTTTGTAATAAACAAATTCATCATTAGGGCATTTTAACTTTAAACCATTGCTTCTGGCCAAAATATGAGTACATATACATAATCCATAATAACACTTACTACAGTGAAGAAGTCCATCCCTTTTTGTCCTCTCACATCAAAATCCACCAACATATTTGTTTATAACTGATTTGGACTGTTTTCACTTGTAAATGGTGCTTGATCTGTGCATATTTCTCACCTGATTCAGACAAGTTGACTTTTTTTCACTAGAGAAAGCAATATATTATGTATAAAGGGCTTTTAGATTTACTAAAGTAATGTTTTTTTTTCTTACAAATACGCAGCTTTTCACTTCACAAGATGTTAACTGATGGACTGTGGATTACTGTAATATTTTTATCAGTTGTTCGGACTATCATTCTGATGGCACCCATTCACCGCAGAGGATCAATTGGTGAACAGGTAATGTAATGTTTTGTTTTTCTCTCCAAATTATTTCTTCAAAACTGTTCCAATGACGAAACAAGTTCATCTACACCTTGGATGGCCTGAAGGTGAGTACATTTTCTGCAAATTTAAATTTTTTGGGAAATGTTCATTCACATGGGTTTGACCAACCATGTACAATTAATTCTTGACAAATAAAAGACATATACATATTTCGGCCATATACATTACTGTTATGATTGATTGATTTTTTTTTATGGTGCCGGAGAGTGTCTGGTCACCATAAACTTTCACTGAATGGAATCATTTTTTGGGAAATGTTCATTCACATGGGTTTGACCAACCATGTACAATTAATTCTTGACAAATAAAAGACATATACATATTTCGGCCATATACATTACTGTTATGATTGATTGATTTTTTTTATGGTGCCGGAGAGTGTCTGGTCACCATAAACTTTCACTGAATGGAAAAGAACATAATAAACATCTACTTTTGTGTTTGACTGAATAAAGAAAGGTTTGGAATGAGATTAAGGCTGCAGCCTTCTGAAAGAAGTAAAATAAGGTGGTTCCACATAATGGATTGACCAGGACTGACAGTACTGACTGAGTGTGGAAACCATAAACAGAGAGAGAAGCCAGGAGAGCAGAACTTGCAGCTATTCCTTCTTGTGGGTGATGGAAAAGAGAGATGGAGAGAAGGAGAAAGTGAGCAGAAGAGACATATTAGTCTCTGTGTTACTGTAAGCAGTGGTGACACGGTAAAAAAGGAGAATTATGAAACGGAAACTTTTGCATAAGAGCACAGGTGTCGCCAAGATTCCACTGAGAAAAATATATTTTTTAAAAGTGTGCTCTTGAACTCTTGAAGTAAATATTGTATTATAACTAAGACTGTAAACGGATTAAATTATGATATTTGCTAAGAAAGACATTATTCTGGCAGACAAGTTGTGTTCAAAATCAATATGTTGTTTGTTTTATTTCGTTATCGTTGAATACACTCTTAAAAATAAAGGTGCTTCAAAAGGTTCTTCAAGCGATGCCATAGAAGAACCATTTTTGGTTCCACAAAGAACCATTCAGTCAAAGGTTCTTTAAAGAACCATCTCTTTCTTACCTTTTTATAATCTGAAGAACCTCCTTTTGTGAAACAGAAAGGTTCTTCAGATGTTAAAGGTTCTTTATGGAACCATTCAGACAAAAAGGTTCTTCTATGGCATCGTGAAGCACCTTTATTTTTAAGAGTGTAGGCCTACTACTAGCCTGAATTTCAATCAGCCAATCTGTCTGTTTCACACAGGATACATTATTGAATTCCACCTGGGATATTTTCAAATCTATGTACACATGCAGAATAACATTTATTCATGCATTGTGTCTTGCTCTTTTTCAGCACCTCATGCCATGACTAGTATTTTTAAGACACTTTGAAAAATTTGTTTTGACTTGAGACCCTTGCCATTCTGTTACACTCTGTTTTTGAACTCAAGGGCACTCTGCTTTTAGTAAATGTGCTTGTTGCCTGTAAAGTTCCCAAAAATGTAATGAAAATCCTTATTAAGAAGTTTGTATATGGGTCAGAAGATGATATACAGAAGATGTAGGAAATAAAATGTATAAACACCCCATGTTAAATCAACTGTTTTTTTGTTTGTTTTGTTTTCAGAATTTAGGCAGCCATAGATGTTTCTGTGAGTAATGGCTTCTACCTAGCCATCCTACCCCACAGCCCAGACATATGAAGATAACAGGATATTGTTGTCATATATATATATATATATATATATATATATATATATATATATATATATATATATATATATATATATATTATATTATATATATATATATACACAGTATACATACACACACACACACACTGTACTTTGTTCTTTGGATTGCCGTTATGGTTCCCTACTGTCACCACTTGTTACTGATGGCCGTCAAGGTTTTCCATGGCCAATCTATTGTTTTGGAAATACTTTGTACCCCTCTCCTGATTTGTACATACTTCCTCTTAACAAAATCCTCAAAACATTTGTAAGATCTTTCCAGGCAATGGCTTCAGCAATAAGAAATACCTAATCTTTTTTTGCAGGATTAATCAGCATCACTTAAATGACTGGAGGATTTTAATTATAAAAACCTGCTGTTTTAACAGGGGTGTTTCAGCTTTTTACAGTATATCCACTCCACTCTACTGTTCATAAGTTTGAGGTTGGTAAGATATTTTGTAATATTTTTTGAACGTCTCTTATGCTCTTATGCTATTTTTGGATTAAGGATTTTTTTATGAATGGAAAAAAGTTATACATGTCTTTTTTTGTCAGTTTTGATCAATTCAATGCCTCCTTAATCTTACTTTTGAATTTCTGATCAGTAGTGTATGTGATATCCCACCCCTCTCCCATAAAATCTGATTTTCTTTAATGGAAAAAAATTGTAGATGTTAACCCTTAAATGCATGAATGTTTCGCCAATCATTATTACATATTCCAGTCTTTAGCGACCCGGGCCAATATATCCAGCACGAATGGATCTCTAAAAAACTCTCTTGATATTTTAAGAACAATTAGAGAAGAATAAAATAAAGCATATTTCGTTACCTTTTGAAACTTAAAAGGGTTCAATTTGAGCAGATGATTTTACCATCGCTGTCATCGTCAGAGCGCACTTCCACAGTACATTCAGCATCTGCCTCACATTCACGATTTCAACCATATTCTCAAAACTATCGTTTTCAATGACTCCATATTCAATATTTTGATCACTGGCAGCTTATTCACCACTTCCAGCATCAAATTTCACATTCTTCACAGAATGTGTAACAGTAAAGCCATTCAAATCAGTTAAATTTTTGCTGATGATATTCGTTTGTTTTATGTCTGCCATAATTATGAGGGAAACGTCAACGTCATCATTGTGTATCAAACAGTGCCACCTTGAGGAAAAAAGATGCACTGCACATATTGAGTCATCAGATATGTAAATATAGTTGTGCAGGAAAAAATACTTACACATTTACATACCTGGGGTCTCTAGCGACCCTATACACGTTTTACAAAAAATGATTTAGAAAACTGGAATTCTTTTAAATTTGAAATTTTCTTTTCTAGTTATATTGTTTATAATTAATAGATTGAAGAATACTAAGAAAGTTGATGTCTAACTTAAAAAAATGAAGACGGGAGAGGGTAGATAATGATGTCCCGGGACGCTAAAGACCCGAAGTATGCAATTAAGGGTTAAGGTGAATCAACATGGTGCATGGTTTAACGGCAAAAACTATGTTTTTGCATGCATCACATTATAGTGCGGTGTGCCCTTTAAGAGACTGATCACTTAACTTATAACGCGCGCTATGTGGTGATGGCGTAGAAGGACTACGTGACTGTGTAATGAGAACCACTATGGATGATA